ATAGTGTACGCCTCACAAGATACTCATGCCACATCGAGCCACCTGCGCTTACCAGCGCTGAAATAATGTTGACAACCGCTGCAACTAACTGACCCCGAGCTGGAATACAACCTCATCCTGGGTTCCCTAGTCTGCTCACTCCTTCGAGCTCGAAAATTGAAAGGGTACAATCCTTGCCCTATAAAACGACATTCCAATCCATCAATTAACCATTCTACTTCCAGCTGCAAAACCCCAACTGAACATAATCATCACTTCTTTCTGGAGTCCCCACGACTCACATTCCGGCCTCCAGCAAAACCCCCGAAGCCTCAAATCTGGAAACTCCTGTGCTAGCCTCTCCCGCTCAACCCGCGGAATGTAACGAGTAGAAAACATCTTCCTGATCACAAGTAACTGCAACCTTCCGCTCATCAGAACATGTCCGAGTAACAAGTGTCGGTACTGGAAAGCTCGACCAATTCCTCCCCTACCGTCGTGACAGCTTCTTTAGCTGCTGCGGAAGCCGTCTCAGCAATGGCTGCATAGCGCTCGTCAAAGTACTCAACCATGGCGGTGTTAATAGACCCAAACATCTCCGGAATATGAACCCGGACAATCTACCTGATGCGATCCTCCAACAATACTAGCCTATCCTGGATGCCAGCTCCCGATCCTGATCCGGATCCGATCTCAAAAAGTCTCGTAACCACCATTATGATAATACGCCAGAGAGATCTCAGATAACCCATATAATAACAGGGAACCAACTCTTAACCAAATCCTAGGGGTTGTGACTTCCTTGCTACGTGTATGGGTCCTGTGCTTTCAGTAGTACATGCCCATACTACCTTCCACACCTACCCATATTTGTATCAAGTATCATCACAACGCCCTAACAATATACAATAACCTAGCGAGTGCTCAATCCTCACTCCTAGAGGAATGATAAATATCTCATAACTGGCAGACTAATCCCAAACAACCCATCCATGAAACTTCCACCAACCCTACAGCACTAGTGTATGCTAGCCACTCATAACGTTGGACCCTATGGACATCCGAATACTCGGTCCTACTCTAAGCCCACAACCAAACAAGGAACAGGAAATAAAGCTAAACCAAACATTCTTAGGCTATAAGATCTTAATTATGTACAACCGTGATGCATACACTAAGCAACTACAGTAACGATGTCAAATTCATATAAGGAAAACTCTAGGCTACCAGGCATCATATAATCAGGCAATTCTATCATACATTTCCTGAAGATCCCTAGCCTAGTACTAGCATGTTGTTCTAACATATCTCAATATCAAATAACTGTATGGTATTTTGGGGCTACTTACTGGCTCCGGCTGATCGTAAACTCTGCATCCTCCTTTACTTATTTTGAAAACCATTTAAAAATCATTTTGAAAATCCTTTCCTTGATTTGAGACTGGATTCACACGAGTGTTCCTCCAATTCCCTCAAACCAAGGCTCTCATACCAACTTGTAACACCCATAAAAATCAATCCAATTTAAAACTTTTTCAAACATCCAAAAGCCATTAGTTATTACAAAATGTTTTCAAAATAGTTTAATATCAGAGTATCCCAAAAACCATAAGTCCAAAACACGAGGATGTTTACGGTCACGCCTTCACCTTGCCGAGACATCTAAAGCATCTGAAACAATAAACTGAAACCGTAAGCACAAAGCTTAGTGAGTTCCCCCAAAATACCCATACATAGAACAATACACATATAATCACAAACAACATACTATGGTTCCAATCAACCATCGGGTTGGAATACCCCAAGCCCTCAACCATCGGGCTAGAATGCCAACGTACAATGGGTCCAATCATCCATCGGGATGGAATACCCCAGGCCTGTTGACTGACGCACGAAGCAACCCAGTGTCACCGTATACAATGACAAATATGTCGGGTCCAATCAACCATCGGGTTGGAATACCCCAGGTCCACTCGACCTCCGGGTCTAGTCCTCCATCTGGATGTAATACCTTAGGTTGGAATGCCAATATATATATAACGGGTCCAGTCATCCTCGGGATGGAATACCATCAGCCCACAACCATCGGGTTGGAATGGCCACATACTACGAGTCCAATCATCCTCGGGATGGAATACTCACGGCCCACAACTATAGGGTTGGAATGCCCAATGTATGGCCCAATTTTCCAAATAGGGCCCAGACCTCTATATGGTCTTACCCTAAGGCCGAACCACTTAGTCCAGTCCAAACATTTGACATTTCAATTGGTCCAACCTCTCATAATCCTCAAGGCCCAGTTATGGCCCATCTATGGCCCAATTTTCCAAATTTGGCCCAAACCCTCACATGGGCCTTACCCTATAGCCCATCCAAATATTTTAGTCCATTTACTTGTTCTTAGATAGCCCATCAGTAACCAAATCACCAAAGCCCAATAGAAAGGCCCAACTTAAGGCCCTAGTGAAATTAGGGTTTTCACATGAAATGACGATTAGGGTTAAGTGTTCTTACTTAACCCATTAAGGACTTAATCCATTAAATCCAATATTGCCTTAGGTTAATTGTAAATGTTTATTAATTAACATTTTCACTCTAATAACTAATTCCAGTGTGAGTCCCGATCAATCCCCAAAATTAGGGTTTCATGACATTAGGCTTTTCAAAACCCTAATTAGGGTTTCCTACCCAATACTAGCCCATTAGTCACATGGTTGGGCTTTTAGGTCAATTAGGGCTTCATAGGGCCCATTAGGGTTTCGTTAGGCCCACTAGGGTTTCATTAGTCAGGCACCACCCACTACCACCTTGGTTATTGGTGGTCAATGACGGCTCATGGCGGCGGCCACCACAAACAAATCCAAACACAAACAAGCACATCGCCACCCAACACAGCGGCTGGTGGCAGCAGGAGGCGGCAGCCATAACCTTATGGTGGTGGTTATGAGTTTTCTTGATTATTTCAGTTACAAATTACAATAATACACACAATATCCCAAAAATAAACACCCAATAAATACACACACAACCACCTTGCGGCGGAAAGCGGTGGTAGAGAGTGGCAGCCACCACCCACATAGGGGCGTACGGTGGTGGCAGTGGCTAAGCTTGGCGGCAACAACATCGGTTAACGGCGACTTCGTCTTCATCGGCAGCAAACACGACGACATCAGCTTCGGGTTGGAAGGAAACGAGGGCAGTCGTTGGAGTCCACATCGAACAACATCAAACTGGCCGCCGACATTGACGGCGGCTTTGTCTTCAACAGATGGGCACATCGGCGGTGGTAATGCAACAGTGGAAGGAGGTGGCAACGATGACTGAAATACAGTCTATCAAGCAAACGACGACATCAGCAACCTTAACTTCGGTTCTTGGTGGTCCTCGTCGCCAACAACAAGAGTTTCAACAGTGGTTCCTGACTCGACGGCAGTGAGGGTGTAGCGGCGCCGAAGATCGGAGGAAAAAGGGGTGGTGACTGCTGTAGGGAGGTTGGAGGGAGAGTGGCGGCCAGTGGTGATAATTAGGGTTAGGGTTAGAGAAGGTGACGGGTTATATACACGATCCCTTCAAACATCGACCCATAGTGACATAAATGGCCCATCATTCTCCTTTTTCTTCCAATTTGACTCCAATTGTTACTAAATGGCCCCTCCATGACATATTCTTTTCAAAACGAATCCATAATTTACCATTTAAACCCTGCCTTCTGAAAACCCTTTCAAATCAATTCTGAAATCTTACCAATCAGCCCCTGCTGTCATAAATATTTACATATTAAGTCCAAATGATACAAAACACCCCCTGACATCTAAAATCCTTTGCAAAACAAGTCCTGAAATTACACTTTAACCCCCGGAGGTTCCAATCTTATCATTAGGCTTCCCGAAACCAACACCCCGCTAATTATTAATTGATTTTGGGCTATAATAATCTAAATTAATAATAAAAATTATTTCTCGGGGTTCCGGGTTTATTATTTGATTATTCTATTTTAAACGGGATGTTACAATACACTTCTTATGTCAACACATGGTAGATAAAGCTCATGTCGATTCAGTTACTCACTTTACACGTGGTGTGTTCTGGTTAGCTATCGATTCTCTCTGCAAAATTCTCGCAAACAACGATCGTCATTTTTACTCTAACGACACTCATCGATCAATTTGACACAACTAATGATGTTGATTCCATTCCTCAGATGAAGATTAAATCAAAAAACGTTTGGTTCAATCCAAACTTTGTGGCTTATCCTGAAGAATTCAAGATGATGGTTCAGTGCTTGAACTATTCTGTTCTTGCATACACTTTATCTTCTTTGTATGAAATTTCAATGCAATAGCTATCTCTTTCTTGTTTTACTACTGTTTATCACAAGGATGTGGATAGGATTACGTTCTAGATGGAATGAAATTTATTCAGATCCTTCAGTTACCATCTGGTGCTCCGTTTGAAGAACCAACTCCTGAACAGGTGTTTCGTATGTTGAATGAAATGGAGCACAATCCTCCAATTTCAGTTATTAGTGAGTTCCAAAAGTATATTTTACCAATTATTTGGAGGTTTTTCTTTGGGGTTAGTATTAGATGTTCGACGGGAAGGAACTCTGGGCTAAATAAAGTGAAGCTTAAATTGTATTTTGTTATGTCTGGTTTATAGTATAGGTTGATGGTGGATTACGCTTCCTTATTATGGATTGAATTTATCACATATGTTACACATTCTAAGAAGACTCCTGAGATTGCAAGGGATCACTCCCGGAGTTTGATTTGAAGAAAGGCTTATAATCAAGCTGGAATTCAAGTTCCACTCGGTGTTCATGTTGTTCATTTTTTTATCTACATATTCCAAAGACTGTGGTTGCTGATCCTAAGGCATTTCCAACTGTTGGAAGGATTCCTGATGCCATGCTTCGTTTGGTGGCATAATCGTATCCTGCTTTGGTTCCATATAGAAAAACATTGGGTGTTAATCCTCGTGTTTCCATTCCTAAGAAAGTGAAGGCGGAGAAAAAGAGAATTATGTTTCAGGAACCATCTGCTGAAGAACAACCCAAGAAGAAAAAAGCAGCTGATGTGTTAAAATTCAAAGGGAAGAAGCAATATTCGAAACCAAAGTCCAATAAGTTTAAGAAGACTATCGAGCCAGTTATCAAAGAAGAAGATGAAGTTGTTAAAACTGAATATGAGGAGACGGATACTGAAGTTCAAGAACCAATTCAAGATACATTTTATGATCACAGAGGAAATGTTGATGATGTTGATCAAATGATGCATGACAATCCTTCTGTTTCACCACGAAGGGATGCCTCTATCAAGTCGAATATCGAGGAGACAAACAACCTGGATGTCACCGTGAACACAGATAATGTGGAAGAAACATCAAGAAAAGTGAAACACCTTTGACTTTTGTTCCCGAGTCGAATACTATCATACCACCCAAAGATTCTTCTACCAAGTCCAATATGGAGGAGGGTAGCTCTTTAGACATCCCTGAGAACCTATCTAATAAGGACTCAAATGTCAATATGGGTGAGACTTCATTAAATGATACCTAGACAGTTCCACCACCACCACCAACATTACCAATTGCTACTTTGACTATTCAAGCTACAACTGTTCTTTTCAGTTCACCAATGTTGGATGGTATTTTACAACCCATTACTTCTTTATTTTCTTCTCAATCCACAAAATGGGATTTCATAGTTTTATTCAACATTGGTTCCTATATTTGTTCTGTGATGCTAGAGATTCCATTTCTATATTTCGAAATCCCGACAAATTCAAATTTTCCGAGATATTTCAATACCAAAACCTTCTCGTAGGATGTTCTGCCTTTTATCACTGCTTTTTACTCTCATCATTTCCAAGAATTTAGGAGGAGATTGTTGGAGCAAGAAATGCTCTTCATTGATGAGAGATTTATTAGGTTAGAATATTCCTTTCTATGTGAGGAGATTCCCTCCACTAGTATATAAAGTAGAGGTGAGTGGTCATTTGTTTATGAGTGCGCCCATGTAGACTTTTGCAGTGAGAGAGAGTTGCTTGGGGAATTCTCCCAACCATGAGAGTTGTTGTTGTAACATGTTGAATCTGTCCATGTATACAATTCAGTTCACTCACATGTTTTTTTCTTCATATTCATACCCAATTATCTTCTCGATATTATCTTTCCGCACCAATCTAATCGATAAATGGGAACCTACACATTGAAGAAGAAGAATGTGTTGAATTTTTTGATCTTTACTTCAATTCTGACGAATAAAATGTTGAATATCATGCTATTATGTCGAGAAAGGAGTACACATTCTTAATTCCAAGCTCATTGCAATCATATAGTTTCTCAATGATATTGTCGGCTCTTCTTCATCAGTTATGAAAGCAGATTTTGAATCTTTGATAAATTCTCAAGAATCACAGACGAAGGCTTTAGTCAACACAACTATGACTATTCTTGACCAGAGGCTAGATCACAACTTGGAGAATTACAAGTTTCAAATTACAGAAGTTCAGAATGTTTCTAGAGAATGCCATGAGTTGATAGAGAAGGCTATACAATCTTCTAAGGAATCTATTGAACTCAAACTCAAGGAACTTCATGACTTTGTTGCTAAAGAAGTGAGGAAGATAGATGGTTTTTATGTAGGAATACAGAAGAATATTTATGTTATTCTATCTACTACTCGTACTTTGATTGAAGATAATCGAACGTTTAATATCAAATAGAAGGAGGAATTGAGTAAGAGGAATGAATCAGATGGGAAGCTGTTCAAGGGTATTGAAACTTCATTAAATAAGTTTCAAGAAGAGATATCAAAGGCTTTTGTGTCTTCTACAACTTTGATTTATAATGAGAAGCTAAATTCTACTATCTCTTCGATTGAAAAATCTTTTAAAGCCCAACTAACTCCAATTATGGACTTAGTACTTCGATTTCCCACGAATACTCCACGACTAGTGCTCATGTCATAAGGGGGAGATAGGGGTGGTTCATCAGAAGTAGGAGGAGCTGAGAAACCGAATGTTGTTGGGAAGATATTTACTAGTCAAATTCCTACTCCAATTCCTGTTTACCTGTTTAGACACCAACAACAATCCCGGAATGTGGTTGTTGATATATCAAAGTTGCAGTCAAAGAAGGGTGTCAGTATCAATGAAGTAGGTTTTGGTTCTTCGGTAGTAAAACCAATCACTCAAGCTTACTTGAAGGATAAAGGAAAAGGTATGCATATTAATCCTTCAGAAGAGGAGAAGAAAATATTACAAGACATATAGATTGAGAAGCTTAAGCAACTTAATAGCATCATGAGGCAAAGAGCAAATGATCCTCCTGGTCTTGATAAAGGTGATATCAATAAGACATGGTGTTATAAAACAATAAAAAATATTGCTTACGGAGAAGTTGGTGCTTTTGAGAAACAACCAAAGCAAAGCTATTTAATTTAAAACCGAGATTTCAATCATCTTGCCTTTCCATTTAATCATTCGATGATCAAGTTTGATCAGTTAAAATTGCCTAACAATTATCATGACAACGAAGATTTCAAAATCTTGAAGATTAGATTTCATGTTGCCCTTGGGAAACCTGAAAATGAGGTCTGGTTATAGAAGAAAATAATCATGTTTGTTTCGATAACAATAGATGTTATTTTTGAAGGCATAAGTCCTAATTATCGATACAAGGTTGTCAAATCAGACAACACTCCTTTTGATTTCACCATTGCTGATTTTCCTTTGATGAATTTGAATGATATTATCACAATGGCAAAGATCATGGGAGATATTAATAATGATCATATTCAAGACAAGGCAACATACATCATTGGATACGGGCACATCAAGAACTTTATTGATTGTCACTTCGCTTACTTAGGTTTAACAGACTTCGAGTTTGCAACTGCTTTCAAGAAGATGCCAAAAAATCCAAATTCGGATTTGAGGGAGGATTTGAATATCTGTGATTATCTAGATGGAGAGATTTTGATGAAAACCAAAGGCGTGGAATTCAGGGGAAGAACAAGACTGTAACAACCGGTTATTTCGGGTCAATAAAAGTCAAAGAAAGTCAAATAAAAGTCAATTGTTCCAATGAAAGTCAATATTTTAAAATTTAAATCCAATAAATAATGAATTATACCCCACTTTAAGGGTTTTCGATTTAGGAATCAAAAGTCAAAACCATATATGCCTTGACCGAGAACCCTCTTGGCCGAGAACAAGAGAGACCGAAATCTCAAACCTTAGACCGAAAACACTCAAGACCGAAATCCCTTCCATGACAGAGAACCCCCTCTAGACCGAAGACCCTAGTTCTCGGTTGGACTTTTAGACCGAAATCAAGGGATTTCGGTGAAGATAAGGCCGAAATCTCAGTTTTAAACGGTGACACACCTTCCAAAGAGATAAATTACACATCCCAATGCATCTATCACATCAATTTTTCCACCATATATAAATATTAGGTCGAAAACACAAATTACATATCCTCATTTACATCCCAAACTCACCCCATTTTGCTCTCAAAGTTCATAAGAACTTCTTCCAATCTTCAAACCATCTTCATACAATCTTCAAATCTTCAACATATTTACCTAGACACACATTCAAACCTTTCCTAGGAAACAATTCTTCAAGATTTATTCGTTAAGAAATATTGTAAGTTTCTTGTTTAATTTAGTGTTTTTAAAACACTTTAATTATTAGATATCTAATTTACACATGTTATTATGTGTTTAAAACACATTAGGATACAACTATATTCACATGTTCTAACTCGAAGAACATCGCCACTCATTTCGTTATCCAGCCAAGAACACACCCGAGGTGAGTTCATACCCCTACATTTTTCCATGATTTTTCTATGTTTTAGGGGGGGGGGGTGGTGGGGGAATACAAGTAAAACACAAGAAAACTTGTGTTAAAAATACTATATGGTTTCAAATGTTTTTACTACCGTTTGTGCAAAAATACTAAATTACACGAAACAAATTTATTTCCAAACTCGTGAGCATATACAGTTTTACAAAAATTTCAAAGCTACAAATCTTTTGTACAAATACACTATGGTTTTCTTACAATAAAACATATATATATATATATATATATATATATATATATATATATATATATATATATATATATATATATATATATATATATGAAACGAGTACAAATGGATTTTCAAATAATAAACTATATATAAAACAGTTTATAAGATTTTTAACCCTTTTGTAATCCATTGAGCAAAAAGGGTATAATTATATAAAAATACATATATAATTATTTCATTCATTTTATTATCATAGTAAAAATGATAATGTTCATACAAAAGATTCTCCAGTACAACGGAACATTTTATAAACTATAATAGGTATAGTTTATGAGACATACATAAGACTTTACTATTTCGGGTTACAATACAAAAATAATTATTTAAAGACATAATTATTTTGAACTACGTGACTACTATAGAAGGATAACACTTCCACATTACAAAATGGCTTTTCATTAAACTACACGTAAACAGTCGATAAAACATTTTTGAGACACGTCTTCAAGTACTTACCTAAGTACCAACAAAAGTCATGTATTATAACCAGAGTCTCTTGGAGGGAAAGCGTGACACTGGTGTATAGATCTATATGGGATTGACAACCCCGCACCTAAACTGTTATCTATAGTTAGACCGGCAGGTATGGGGTGACAAATTTCGTAACAATTCCGACACCCGAAGAACGTCGTTCAGGCGAACTAGTCGCATTAGTATGGTTATAATAACTCACAAGGGGTATTAACAATACGTTTGGTTTATGAATACATACATGTCTTCAAATGGTTTTATTTATATAAAACTACATTACACTATTTTCTAGTACAATATAGTTTACAATTCTGGAAACATGCATTCAAATGGTTTTATAAAGATATAAAACTACATTATACTACTTCAAAGTACAACAATACTTATACAATTCAGTCTTGGAACATTTAAGACTACATTACATTTAAAAGAAAATATTGAGTTTTCTGGAGGAGCACACTATTATTTTCAAGGAACAAAGACATATATTTCTCATACAAAATTCTTATTAATTGTTGACACTCTTTTTCAAAACCACTTGTATTCTTAGGAAATCAGTAGACAGATACCCACACAGGTTTTGTGAAACGGAGCTTAGTATTGTTACGTCTTATATTTTTGTTGTATGCTTTTGGAGTCAAACAACAATTCGAATACAATGTAAAAACTTATCAATTATCAATATAATGTTTTGAATGTTTTGATCTATATTATTCAATTGTTATGATACTGTACATGACGTCATCCGCTCCCGGACGTTTCCGCCGTTTTATCGGTTCGGGGGTGTGACAGATTGGTATCAGAACATTGTTTATAGTGAACTAAG